AAATCCCTCCTTGCTGCGGACTCACTTCGCAGACATCTCAGTTATCGATGCAAATTCGCCACACCCAAGGAGCTTTTTGGTACAACACAGTTTCCCCTTCGACAACTCTGCTCGTACTTTGCCACATTTCGACTCGAGTCGCTTCGTCTCGTCATCACTTTCCACTACCCGTCCGCATATAGAAAGAAGAAGAATCAGAGGTTTATTCCAAGTATCCCTACCGCACGCCGAACATCCGAATGAATTTGATGCTGTAAAATCATACTAGCAGTAGCTTCGAACCGAGCCCACCCGAACGTGTACTGGATGCCATGTGCTTCGCGCATGCTCTCCCCACATTCAGCGGTGAAGATCCAGCCACGACGTGGCGAAGGCTCGTGCTTTCGTCGTTCTTTTTGCATATGCTTAGACGCATACGCAAAGACATGTGCCCCATCGGACGTATGAGGCATCTATTCTTGACCGAAGCCCATAGTCTCTTCCACGGCAATTGTAAGCTTCTGCTGGAGCATTTCCAGACTCTTGTATGGCGGCAGGTCCAGTCGGTTGAAACTAGAACAGGGTTAGCGGTTGAGCTTGACCATGCTGTGGGCGAGAGTAACTTACCATGTGTGTGCCTTGGGAAGATTATTGATCTCTCCAGCCTTCTCGATTGTAAATCTTCTCGGACCGTCACTTCCTTGCAAATCCTTGAAACCATTGACCGGGATACGCGAAGTACCCGTCGCGAATTGAAGTAGACGCGACTTCTGCTCTCCATCCCACGAACGAATCGTCTGCCAGAAGAACTGAATAACCTCGTCCGACTCTGTGTATCCGCGGTAATCGGTGTGCTTCTTCCAATCATCCACATCGATCTCAGCAATACCACCAATCAGCAACTCAAGCTCACGTTCATCGAAAACGTTGACCAAGTCCTGAGGAATAAGCTCATGGAAGCCATCCTTGAAGGCTTGGAATTGCTCCGCAATACGCTTCTCGATTCTCCATTTCACCATGAGATCAACATACTCCTTCTTGTTCTCGTTCGTGACGTCGATGTCGCGACCACCGGGAATGAGGTCCTCCACGGTCATAACGCCGAAGCGCTCGTCCTCAGTGGAGAATGTCTGTTCAAGAATTCCTCCAGAAATGTCGTTGTCAAGCATCCACTGCAGAGAGCGGTGGAAGTCGGCATCCACACCTTCCATGTCGGCTAGAACGACTGACTTGCCCAGGATCATCTTGTACAGGGCTCCAATGAAGAAGGCATCGAGGAAACGACGGTGGAAAATCGCCAGGCCAACAACACGACCAATGAACTTGAAGTAGTTCAGATGCTCGGGGTTGATACCGGAGTGGGGGTTGATTTGAAGGGTATAGTTGTCGTGGGCAGAGTACTCGAACAGGCAGTAGAACGGGTTGAACATCTCGTGGGAGAGAAGGAAGAAGAATTCTCTGGAGAGACCACCATAATCCAAACCATCCTCACCATCGAATTTGATCATGAGACGCTTCTTCAAATCAGTAGCAGACTGCCGAGTGATTTCCGCAAAGGAGTCCTCGAAGATGTGAGACCGCCGCACCTTAATGTGGCACTGTCCGGAAAGAATGCGCATCGCAGGTTGCGAGCGGAAGTAAATGAGCTTCCTTCTGAAGTCGCGCTTGTACTGCGGTACGTTCTGATCCAGGGATGACGGCAAACGGGGGTCGTCCCACGTTGTTGTCTTTGTGTTGTGGTCCACGAAATACACTCGAGCAGTGTTCGTGAGACGCATCTCCCAACCACTTGGCAGAGGTCCCAATTGAGAGACGGGTTGTTGCTGGATGGTGCCATTCTGGGCATTCTGGCCTCCGTACATACGGATGTACTGCTGGCGGCGGGGGTCAACCCAGGTTGTCGTACGAGTGTTGTGGTCCACGAAATATGGGCGACCTTCTGGAGTCCATCTCTGTTCCCAACCAGGCGGCAGCTCGCCAGTGCCCGGACTCGTTGCTCCAGTATGCATCATCGTAGCGTTGTTTGCGCTTTGAGCAGCTGCTTGCTGAGCTTGCAAAGTCGGGGAGCTCGCGCCGGTTCGATCCTCGGGGAGGGTTCGGTTCTGGTGTCTCTGGCGCTCCACTTGAGTTGCGGCTTCACGATCGTTCCTCTGTTCCACGGCCCCCGCAACAGTCGGTCTGTTCCAGCTCGTAGTTCTGGTGTTGTGATCAACGTAATACGTGCGGCCAAGGTTATCCTCTCGGCGTTCCCAGCCGGCCGGCAAGCGCCCTTGCGCATCCTCGAAGGGGCTCAGTGTGCTAGAGTTGCGTGCCGGAGGCGGGCCACCATTCGCGGCCGGAGGGGGGCCGGTGGAAGTCATGCTCGCAGGTCGGTGCGGCAGGTTTACTTGAGAACCAGGAGCTGGGCCGCCATTTGGAACACCCATGGCCGAGCCCGGTCTAGCGTCAGCCGCCGGGGCCGAGAGCGTCGAGAGGCTGGACCCTTGGGCAGGCGGAACGAGTGAGGGACGGCTTGATGATGCTTGCCCGGCCCGCGCGGGTGTGGTGAGGTTTGTTGACAGGTTTACGATCAGCTTGCCGTGCACAACTAAGTTATCGGTCGACTTCTTGAGGTCTCGCGTGAGCATTTGATCTGTGGGGCGCCGCATTTGTCAGTCAAGTCTGTGGCGACAACGCAACCAGGAATGCGGCAAAAGAGTATTACCATCAGCGTCCGGTGCCAGCTCGATCACGTCGCCAATTCTAACGTTGATTACGCCAAGGAAACCTTGGTCCTTCTTCTTGAACTTCTTCTGGTCAAACACTTGAACCGCGAGAATGGTATCCTCATTCACGTTGCTAAATGATGTCAGAGGGAGGTTCTCGCCGCGATGAGCATTTTGGGGACTATAACATACAGGTCGAAGCTCTCGTTCCAGTATGGGTTCAAAGTTCGTTTCTGTGCACTCGTAGTCTTGGTCTGGTCTCCGTTGACGGTGATGACGGCGAAGGGATCCGGAAACCCTGTTTTGCATGTTAATGGTTTGTTCCAACGGGACGAAAGAGGGTGACGGCGTACGGAAGACATCTCGCTTGTACAAGCCATCGGCGGCGATGACTGCGTTAAAGTTAGTATCGATGGTCGTTGCGCGGATGATCAACTTGGGGATGACGAACTCGTTACTCGGAGGTTGGGCTTGCGGCTACAGACAGCAGAGTTAGCTCTCGTGATTTGCTCAGTGTCGGTAACGTCCAGATGGCAGCGTCTACGGACTGATGGAAAGAGACCAGATGCATTACTTACTTGGGCTGCCCGGCATCATTGCGGGAGGAACTCATTTCGTCGCGGGATAGCCAGCGACAACGGTGTCGACTCCCAAAATATCTGGCGTGCTCAGATCAAGGTCGTTCGTTCTTGGAACAAATGAGGGGTTAGGAAGACGTTTCGTGGATGACGTTTGGAAAGTGACCGGTCGCGGCGATACGGCGTAATAGATTATCGACAACAATAGGGACCGGAATGCAGCAAAAGGATGCTTTTGCTGGTGAGAGGTAGCGTGGTGCGGATTGGCGTTGACGACGACGACGACAAGGACGACGGCGAAAGGCAGAGCTGAGGCTGTGCAGTGCAGTGCAGTGCAGTGCAGAAAAGCCCCCCGCTTCGACGAGCCAAGTGGGCTGGGTTTTTGGGGGCCTTGGAGTTCTCTTCGGGGGTGCGGCGGATGATAAGGTGACGCGGCGGGCGGGAAGACCGAGCGAGGCTAAGAAAGCAACGGAGAAACGGTAAGGATACTGGCGAGATCGAATCGGACCAGCGATGCAGTAGACTTTATTGGCCGTCTCTGTATCAATCTATCTCCGGAGGGCGACAAAAGGTCGACCGGTGGGATTCGGTGGGAGGGAGTTTGGAAGTTGAAGATGGAGGAGACAGGATGGAGCGAGTTTGGTGTTTTGGCAAGGTAAGTCAGTTCAGTCGCCCCCGTCTGAGCGCTTGTCAAACGGTACGGAGTACGTGTGTGCGAGTGGATTTTGTCTCCGGTCGGAAGTTCGCAGCAGAGGAAAGAAGGTTGTTAGGCGTGATGCGGGAGGTGAGGTATGCGGTGGGTAGGAGGAAGTGTCAGGTCCAGCGCTATCTGACTCTGAGGTGCTCCAGTGTGCGGCGTGCGGCGTGCGGCGTGCGACGAGCCTGTGCTTCCATCAGCTTTCACCCTTGATGACCTCAGCAGGCTGGCAGACGGGAGCAGTGATTACGGCACCTGCAGCAGTGGTGACAGCAGTAACAGCGACGCAGCTGCAGTGGCAGGGCAGTGATGTCCACTGTATCCGTAGGTAAGGCAGGTTAACAGGTAGGTAACGTAACCTGGCGTGGCTGGTAAGGTCAGGTATTGATTGTGAGCGTAGGATGAGGTGAGTGTCCCAGGCGATTCCCAGCTCCGTTCGACATCAAGAGCCAAGGAACCTGGAAGTGCGGATGGCGAATCCCACTTGTTAGCACTTGGCGGGGCCCAGAGGTCACTGTGGGGTACCACGGAAAGCGGGCAAAACCTCTCGGCGGTGGTCGGGTTGGACCCATAATTCAATACCCACCTCGACTCACTCTTGGTGAGCATCTTGAGAGAAGTGTAAGTATTCTTCACCCATGAACCTCACCAAGATCAACTGCATCTCATAAGACTTTACTCAAAACAATTCGATTGCACTTCAATAAATCATAGACAGCCCATGGATTGAGTGATCCCATGGCATTGCCTAAAGATTTGTCTTAGCAGATCCTGACCGGAGGACTGTCTGACAAAATAAAACGACAGAGGAATGTGAGATACAAGTGTACATGACGTCTCAGCCCAGACTGATCGATGATGGACATACTTAAGTAAGCGCTCCGAGGTATCTCTTGACTTATCTTGCTCATCACAGCAGCTTGCCATAGTATTTGGAAGTTGCGAACAGCTCTACCTCCTTCATGAGAAATGTACAGTTGGTATAGTAACTGCGCTCTCCATCTGTTCATACATCGTACATTGTCTAGGGGGCCACCTTTCTATCCAGTCTTCTTACCAGGCAGGTATACACGTCATCCAGCTTGAGCTCCAATTCGGGACTGAAAGATGGATGTGAAGCAAGTACCTCACCTTAACTCTTTTGCAAGTACCTCGCCAAGAACAACGAATGGCAGCGCAGGAAGGAGAAATGGAAATCAAAACAAACCAGAACCGAGTGACAGGGCCTCCAGCTTTTCCCTAAACTTCTAAACACTGTTCCCAATGGTGTTTCGGATGCCCATGACCGTCAGAAAGCTGCCAATCCCACGCGCCCCCTACCTGCCTTTTGCCTGTACTCCGTACCTGCGGTGCTGCGGTGTGCCCTGACTGACTGGCATGGCCAAGTCTTTTCACCCTTGCCCCGTACTTTACCCAGTCGAGTCCCGTCAAGCTGGAGGAGACTCGAGAGAGTCGAGAGAACGACCTAACAACCTGCCGCTCGGTACGGATCCCTGCCGACCTCACCTGTACCCTGACCCGTGCCGCCGTGCTAACAGTTGGGACAGAAGGAGGGAGGGAAGGGGGGCCCAAAAGGCTTGGGAGGCCCCTCAGTTCGGGCCGTAGACACAGATAGACGGAGAGTCTAGAACCTGACCAAGCGATTGTATGAGCAGATGCCACTCTTTACATAATCTCCTGTGGCAATTTTGAAATCGGTATCAACGAGAGGTTCTGCTTTTTTTTTTTTTCTTCTTCGCCTTCGAGTTTCCCGCGGACAGGAGAAGAGTCGGCTTGGTAATCTGTATTTCTCATATTCTGCTCTCGAAAGGAACTTCTCTCGAGAAAAAGCACGTACCTACCGGGACGCGAGAAAGCAGAAACGGCGCATTGTTGCTCGTCCCATCCCACCACCAACCCCCGGCTCACCGAACCTCATGCGCTACGGCCACCCTCTCTCGCACCTCTCTATGTCTTTCGTCTCCCTGCCTCTGCCTCTCGCTACTTGCCTGTGTCTCTCCAGCATGCAGCAACCTACTCATTCATGATCCTTCTTTAGCATGATAGCTCAATTAACCAGCGCCATCTTCCCTACGCTGGCTTTCCAAGGATTACCCGAGGCCTTGGGGGCATAATCGTTGGTGCCCCGGCATGTCCAGTCCGTTCCCCCCTCATCCCTCCCGACGGTCCAACCGTCACATCCATCCACATCCCTTCTTTTTGCTTCGGCGCGAAAGCACAGTGAACAAGAAGCGGCATAGGGTATACCATAAATAAACAAGAGACCAGCCCAAACACAGTCGTCTGCCCAAAAGTTCCCACCCAATCATCTCCTACCTCTGTCCCAGTCCCCTTCCTTTGGGAAAAGGACAAAAACAAGGGGAGGGGAGACCCTGCAATCCAATCGCAGCCGCGGGACCATGGGAGAAATACTGGACTGGATAGTGAGGGAGGAGGCGATCTCACGACATCGCATTCGACAGAGTACAGCGAGCACGTGCCGCAAAGACGCTTCGCTCTTGATGATTCCCATGTCCAATCTGTTGTGTGAGAGGAACAACCTCTTGCTCTTCCTCTTCCAGGGCAGTCTTGCGTGCGTCTTTGACGCCCTATACGGACAGGATGATTTCCGAATGTTCGATTCAGCCCCCCCTCCCCCCGCTCTCTCAAGTGGCTTGCCCTTCACCCTTCGTCCTCCCCCCTCAAACCCACTGGGGACAGCCACTTCCGTGTGTCAGCTCGCGCGGGAGGGAGGGATGGATGGATGCTTAGGAGCCCGTCCTGAGGCGGGCAACTGTGCGCCCGGGTCGGGCGGCGTCGTGGGTCACCTGCGGAAGGACGGCACCACTAGGCTTGTCCGCCCGTCTCGTCTCGTTCATGTCCCGGCTCCATGGTTTTCACATGACTTGTCACTCGACAGTTGGTTGACGTATAGGTTTCTTCTCCTATACAGGATGATTTAGACATCGTGATCCTACACATGCTCATGTTCAATTGAATGCCGGCTGCTTGGCCTTTAGATTTTACAGAAACATTGTAGAGCGACTGTTGGCAAAGGCGTCATCTAATTACGGGCCTTTCCCAGCAGAAGCTATACTAAGTAGTCAGACCATGCTAGGATTAACTCAAAGAGACAGGTACGTTTCGTAGCTCACTTGAATATTTATGCGAAGAGCTATCTGGGGGAAAAGAGCGTTCCTCAGCACCTGTAATAATCTCAGGAAGGTTCCGTTTCTTGATTTCCCACAGATATACGATGATAAATCCACGCGCTCTGCAGACTTGATGAAGGAAAGACATGTTCAAGAGTTTTCGAATCGAGAATCAGAATCTGGATCAATTTCGACCCAGAGAAGTCGAAGAACAGGAACGTACGTCTCTAGTTATACGGCAACGTAGTCCATGTATCTACACAGAGACATCTCTCTCCTCACTGAAATATCACAGCGTCCCAACACCTGATTCCGATTTAATTGTGGTGGATATGTGTGCCTTTCCACAAAGTTCGGCCCAGCATGTGATATCTGCTGGCCCAGATCGCAATGAGTCTCTTCATTGGCGTCGTACTGCTTTTCATCACATTCGGCCTCCACTTCCTGGCATAACCAGGTTACGCATCGATCTACAAACTGTCATTCCACGGGTGTTACTCTTTGTCCAAAATTGTACTGAGATGCGGTGGTTCATCCATCGAAATTGAAATACTCGTCGACTGAATGTAAAAGCCTGACCAATCCCTGAACGCCATATCGAATCTTTCTCCTTTCCCTACCGTCCTGTATGTTACAATCGAAGCAATGAATCGCGTCGCACCCTCTCATCCGGGCTACTAGACGTAAGCGAGTCCTCGGGAGGCGTCACTCTGCCTAATGCCTAATAAGGGGTGTATCCTCCTCTGCCCCGACCGCGGTAGCCTCCACGATAGCCACCGCGAGGCGGGAAACCGCCACGGCCGCCGAAGCCGCCGCGACCTCCTCTCCCACCGCCACGGCCGCGGCCGCGAGACATGCCGGGGATATTGGTGCGCTTGGGGACGACCTTGAGGTTGCGGCCCTTGAAGACGCTCTCGTTGAGGACCAGGGCCTGGGCGACCAGGCTGGGCTCGGTGAATTCGACGTAGGCATATCTGCAGCGCAAACACATGTTAGTCTTTAGGCCATTTGTCGGGCGCGTTTCTCGGGTGAGCTTCCGTAACGTACCCCTTGGGCTGTCCAGTGAACTTGTCCAACAAAATGGTGACGCGGTTGATAGAGCCACAGCTCTGGAAGTGAGCTTGGATCTCCTCGGGTGAGGCAGAGTAGTCGACGTTGCCGACAAAAATACTGCGGCTGTCGATGTCCTCCTTGTTCTCTGAAAGTTCACGGCTCTGTTGGTCGAGGCTGGCTTGCATTTCGCGCAACTTGGCGGCCTCCTCTTCCATCTCGGCTACCCGCCTCTTCATCGCAGAGATCTCCTCCTACGGTCTTCTGTCAGTTTTACCTCCTCTTATCTGCGAAAGCCAGTGGTGAATCAAGGCTCTTTGCGCACCTCATCGTGGCCATCTTCCTCGCCGACGCTGTTGTTCTCGACGTTGTGGTCCTCCACAGGGGTATCCTCGGGCTTGACGTCCGCCATGGCTGTAAAATTGGGCAGTCGTTTTCGAGTATATGACGGCTCTGGGTAGGATAGGCGATTAGCTATCGATGCGAGAAGAGGAAAGGGAGAAATGGTGTGACAAGGCAGACGCGCCCTTTTTAAGGCGACCGCAGCCTCGGGAGGGGTCCCCTCGCTCAAAGCTGTTCGCGCTCACAAAGAGTTTCTGCTGGGGAGGGATATACTCACAGCTGTAACGACCGCAATTGAATAGCTCAGATCCTGAGCTGATTTGATGCAGCAGCTTGCGCAAGGGCTGGACAAGACAGAAGCCGAAGGTTGAGGTAGACGTAGTGAAGGTATCCGGGAATTCTGATGCCAATGAGTAGGGGGAAAATCCACGGTTTAGCCGGATGCTCCGATAAGAGATAAGAGCTCCAATCTCAAGCTTTCGTCAAGCAATGGACTTTGTACCTGCCTCAAAGCTACATACGCATGCCCAGTTTACCCAAATAATGAACGAATATTTCGCAGATGTTTCAGAGCCAAAGTTGAAGGCCAACTTCTAGTTTCTGCCTGAAAGTGCCTAGGGTGGCGGAAGAAGGTACCGCTGGCGAGCAAAGTCAAGACCGGTCAAACCGGGAAAGCACCTCATCTAGCGGGGTTACGGAGCTACCTACTTAGCTGTGCCTACCGCTCGCCATGTAGATACCTTCCAGGATTTTTTCCTCTAAAGTAAGGTATTGATAGTTCCGCGTACATCAAGGGCAGTCTTTTCTACTCTTTGGTGACAATGCTGATCAAGACGGAATTTTGATCCGTAAGGTACTCGCTATCTTTGCTCTTAGACACGCCTCGTGCTGATCCCATCCGAAGGCTCCATTCCAGGCTACTCTTGACGTCGAGGTCTGGGATATGTGACGGATGACTTTGGCAAATGTGACATTCCGGCGGGTGCCACCCGTCAATGAATTCTTGAACGACTAGATGAACAAAGAAAAGTATTCAGCCCGTGAAACTTTTCTTCTTTCTCCATCTTTACCTTATTACCCCTACCGCCCGGTGAACTCTTTGTCTGAGCAAGACCTCACTCGATTTTTGGCACTGACTTCAATAGCTTCTGATTAATTGATTCAATGGTCAAAAGACTAAGCAGGTATCGCGTCGAACCCTGGCCATGTTACATTGAAAATTTCCACCTGTGCTGTCACAGCGGGGGCAGTCATTATTTACATACTATTCAAGCAGCGCAGAACATTGGGTACATTTTGGATGGGACCCCTCGAGTTCAGGCGCAATTTACCGAGTCGATCTCAATCGTGAGCAACACGGCGCCGGACCTCCCCAGTCTCCGAATTGCTCGTCCGTCCGTGATCCACGCGGCTCCGAGTCCCGAATCATTGCGGAAGCACCAAGATTTCCGTCCATACCTTCAGCTCGGTGGTGAATGTGTTACCTCTCACTCCAGCCCAGTATTGAAACGCTCTTGGGGGTCGTCGTCCCACACCAAATGAGTTGGCGTAGCGTCTTAGTCAGCAACCCCAAGTACAGGATTGCGGCACCCGCGCCTCGTGCGCATGTCGTCGAATGCCCACGTGTGACGTCGCTGAAGGTGCACTGCGTCAGCACCGCATCGCCGGGTTGCCGGCTATCCTCCTTGGCCCCGGATTTTGTTTTTGTGTTTCTATTATCTTTTCCCTGCCCGCGCTCCATCCCGCTTCACCGCGCGAGGGGAAGGATCTGCTCGCCCGGATAGGCTGCGACATCGCGATCGTTGTGTGAGCGCCCTGCGCACTACACTTCGTATTACCACGGCCAGCCAAAAACCCTTGCTTTCCTGTCGAGTCCTGAATGGTTGTGACTCTTTTTCTAAGCAAAAACCATGGCGTCCGACGATGAATCGATCCGGCCTCTGCTGTGGTCCTTCTCCGGGTTCCGCGAGAACAGACGTCCGGCGCCGATCAGGCGACAGCTGAGCCAGTCACGGACGAGCCTCCAAGATGTGCTCGCGTCTCGGAAGAAACACTATGCCGTGCTGGCTCTCGTATCACTGGATGTCGCCGCACTCATGGCCAACATCTTTGTCGAGCTCGTCGCCTGCGATATGAAGCGGGAAGACGAGCCGTGGGTCAAGAATACGCGCGAAGGTCTCACCATTGCGGGCCTCGTGTTTAGCTCTCTGTTCTTGATCGAACTCGTATTGTGTGTTATTGCATTTGGATGGAGGTGAGATGAACTTCCAAGAGCACGTAGTACTCAAGCCGTGACTAACTCAGACCGTAATAGGTATTTTGCAGAGTGGTTTCATCTGCTCGATGGTATAGTCATCGTGGCAAGCTTTGTTATCGACGTGCTCTCGCACGGAATCGTGGAAGAGATTGCTTCTCTCGTCATTGTGTTCCGTCTCTTCAGATTTGTCAAAGTGGTCGAGGAGATGAGCATGGGCGCCGCGGAGAGGATGGAGGGACTCGAGGAGCAGTTGGCGATTCTGAGGCGGGAGAATGGAGAGATGAAGAGGCAGCTGGCACGACGATGATCTGGAGGACATGTTTCTGGTATTTTGGCATTACGGCATTGGTGGCAGCGCTTTCATGTGATGATCGATACCCTTGGGGAACAGACTAATGATAATGAACGATCTGGCACATGAGAAGCGCATTTTGCAAGTACCTTAGGCTGAAGGCGTTACTGTTTCTCTGAATGGGCCAGCTTTGTCTGACCAAACAAGAAATTCCTTTGTCAAGATGACGCTACTGCAACCCCAAAGTTATGGAGGAGTATGCAAAACACACTGCTGATCTATATACTTCAAACGCCTTGATCTGAAGCATGTGCAATCACTGGGCGACGAAGCCGCCGATGGCTTTTGCTAGAGGTAGAAAAGAGCTTGTTTGACGGGTCCGGGGTTGCTGCCGCCAGTTGTTGCTTGACCAACCGCGGACTAATCAATAATTCTGATCGGCTCGTGCTTCAGATCAACGTTTCGATCTATGGATCGAGGTTGGACCGTTGGGCTGCGTGCATGATGGTGTCGGCCGGACTTTCGGGGGCAGATGCGGTGGGGATGTGGTACGTTGGCCGGCAGAGAACCTCCGCGATGCAACACCAGCCGCCCCGGCTGTTACTGCATCTCGTATTGCTGCTCTTACTGCAGATACTATGCAGCCGCCAGCGAGGAGGCAGCCATTGGGCTGTGTGAGACAACTTTACAATATTCGCCTCCTCAACATCCCGCCACGCTCCATGATCGAGGTGCCTCAGCGGATACCCCGAACACAAGAACGAGAATAGCATCAGGCAAGCGCGCCAATATAGCGCCGGTGGGCGAAAGACGTTGGATACGAACGTTGGAAAGGGCGAGATCGCAGGAAAAGTGGCTTTATTCGCCCCCGTTGAGCCTCGATAACAGAACATTGATATGGTACAGCATAAAGTGGCATAGACTGATAAGCTGCTTACAGTCATGTGTCCTGACGCCCAAAAGACAGTTACGGCGTTTGGACCAGCGACGAGAAATGCAACACAAAAGCACAACACGGACGCGGCAACAAGGGACGGGACCCAGTAACACTTGAGCCAAAAACAAAGGTGCGGCCAGTCAAAGAGCCACGCTTGTTGTGCCTTGATATTGGGAAATAAGCATATCAAAATCTCGATTGGCAAGCCAAAATACCGGTCAACGGGTAGCCGCCACATATGCAACAAAAAGAGGTCAAAGCCTTTGCAGGAAAAACAACAGACGACAGCTGCGCCGTTGGTGTTTAGATCAGATGCTTCCAGACTGGCTATAATCAGCCGCACTTCCCAAGGCCTTTTTCTCTGTCTTGAAAAGTTGAATGGAGTTCATTGCCACATGAGATCTACGGATACGGATCATGACTTTTTCCAACACGCAACTACGCATACGAATACCACCAGAAAACGGCACTTGCGTTTGTGGTGCAACACATCCTTCGAGGTTCGCACGCCCTACCCTTGCTTCCTTGCGGCAGAACGGGCCAAGGGGGTAAGAAAAACAATGGCCCCAGAAAGAGGGAGCATTATCCAATCAACAATCCTTCAAATCGACAACCCCCCTTGTTCACAAACAAGATTAGACTTCATCTCGACGTCCGGGCCCCATGATCGCGCCGCCGTCGTTCGAACCTCGCTCCGTTTGACTTGCTCCCGTTTTTCCTTCAACCGATCGTACCACCTTCTTTCTCGGCACCGCTGCACAATATATTGGAAAGAAGCATAGCTGCCGAACCAGACACGGGCAGGCAATATGTTCTGGATCCTGATCCGCCACAGAGGGAGCACGGCACGCTGCACGGCAACTACTTCGTAGAATCGGGCCCTCAAGTGAGACTGGTCTCCACGAATACTGCGCAAAGAGAAAGAAAAGGGGTTATCAGCGAAGGAGACGGGCCAGCCGCAGCCGGGTACGGATAGTTCCAGCCTCTTCAGCCCTGATGGTCCGGTCGTTTCTTCGCCAACAATTCCGAAGCATTCCTCCAAATTGTCAAAGGAAATCCCCATCCTCTAGAAACGCCCACGGCCTCAAGCTAGAAGGCTGGAGAAACACACAAGGCGCGCGTGCGCTGCACAGCATTTCCCGCACCATAATTCGTACAAACGGTTGCCCCCTTCCCTTCCGTCCTTGCTTGATGCTAGCAATTAGACGGGGATTGGGGTTGGGTAGCTTCTACAGCCGAAAGTGGGAAGATTTAGGCGGGGACTGGCAGGGACACCAGGGTCACAGGGACCTTTCTCTCAAGGTGAAAAGTCTCCTCCTCCTGGTCCTCTCTGTCTCTCTCTGTAGGCCAGGGCTTGACGCCATCACCACATTCCCAGTGTCGGTCCCCAATATCCCCTCCCCTTTTCGCTGCTGGCGTTACTGCAGAGGGCGGATATTGTTTCCTTTTCTCCTCCCCCTCTCTACTTTCCCACTGCCGCTGCTACCTCACCGTCACACGCATACCGGGTACTCAGAGGGAATACGGGGGCCCTAGCAAAGTAGCCTCATCAATCTCCATCAGTCAAGCAAGAATCCCCGAACCACCAAACCCCTGGAGATGCGGCTTGATGGGGGCCCGCTCCCCCCTTCCATCCTGTCCCTCCACTTTGTTGGCTCCTCTGCCTGGAGCAGAAGAGAAAATACCTGACGGGCCTATCACATATTCGAATTCGCTAGCGTCGCGCGCCACTGCTTTTGCCCTCCTCGGCCTAGTCGAGGGGGTGCGTGGAGTTGCTTCTCCTCGATCCTGATGCTAGTTCACTTTCCCACCCCCAGCCAGCGGGTGCTTCCCACCCCAAGAGGATCATAAAAGTCCGGATACAACGTTTTGTGATGAAATTGCTGCCGTTCCCTAATTTGCTTAATATACTCCATCTGCCAGCCCTTCGCTCTCTCTTCTCTTTTCCTTTCCCTCCTCCTCCCCTTCCGTAATAAGCCTCCGCCAACCCACTGTTCGTCAAAAACAGCTTATTTCGTCTTCGACAAACCTAATTCCCCTCGGTTCGTCCAGTCACTCGCTACAGTCTTTGAGACTCTTTACATTCGTTGGAACCACCATACAACCGTCGTTCTCGATAACTACCAATACAACCCCGTAATAATCGACTTCACCGTCAAAAACTTCCCACACATTCCAAAATGAAGTTCTTCTACCCTCTCGCTCTGGCCCTCGCTACCGTTGTTGCCGCCGCCGATGATGACTGCGATGCCGCTCCCATCGTCGAGGCCTGCCTGACCAGCGAGAACGCAAAGGTGAATAAAACCTTCATAGACTCTACCAGCCTCAACAACCGACAACTAACATTTATGTTCTCTCTAGGTCAAGGACTGCAACGCCACCGACTACGACTGCCTCTGCGCCGCCTACCAGGCCGTCGCCACCTGCTACAACAACTGCCCCAAGGACTCCCGCGCCGCGCCCGCTCAGGGCCAGGTGACAATCTACTGCCAGCAGGCCTCTCTCTACGGCTCCGCCGCCATGCGCAAGACCCAGTCCGTCGTCTCGGCCACCGGTTCCGCCTCCGCCGCCGTCGCCTCCAACTCGGCCTCCGCGACCGCCGCCGCCACCGGCACCGGCGCCTCTGGCAGCTCCGCCTCGGCCACCGCTTCGGCCAGCTCCAGCTCCAGCTCCGCCAACATTGGTGTCGGCCAGCTCGCCCGCAACACTGGCGGCGTCCTCCTCGCCGTCGCTGGTGTCGTTGCCGCCGTCCTTTAAACGAACGAAATATCTTTTGCAAGATAACGCACATAATCTTCTCCTCCCAAGGGGGAGGGAACCAAGATACCAAAACATCATGTCATTTAAAGCGATTATGTTTACGGTGCTCAAGAGATTTTCGGCAATGTTTTTTAGTCAAAGACTACAGGACAGGATTGGACCTGATTTAACGGAGCATATGTGGCACACCCAAGCGAGATTTCGGGGCCAAGGAAACGGGGAAACGGCGAAAGAAAAACAAGACCACCTTTTGTATATGCCTAATCTTTGTAATTACCTAATTCCAATCAGCCCTTCATGAAGTTCGCTTTTCATGGACGAGAGAGAGAAACAGGTTCGACAAGAAAGAAAGAGAGACAGCATGTGCTATGAAGAGTTCCGTTGATGAAATTCGTGACCCGGTTCAGTATGTGTGTCTAACTTTCTGCTGTTGCCTAGTCGAAATTCAATACGAACCAAATTAGCATCTGACATTCCGATTTGTTGTTGACTATGCAGCAGCTTACGTCGCACAACATTACACGGAGAAAAAGAATAAAGAAACCCTGCGACATAAGACTGAAATCTACAGATACCATTTGTTAAATGTCTTTGAGAGACTCCCAGTTCTCCAGGTCAACATAAACACGTTGCATCCTCCAATACAACAACAAGAGCAGAAACGAAACAAAATCTCACAGAAACCGGGGGGGGGGGGGTGTGACTCAGCGACGATGCAATGCAATCCCTACGCCCTTCCAAATTTCCATGTTTTGTTTGAAACATTTCTGAACCTACCTTGCCTTAGCGGCCGGGCCAACGACACTTACTTACCCTACATGCATTCCCCAGCTCTTGCGCATATGTATCCGCAACGCATGCCTTTTGGTTGTTATTGCTTCCAAAGTAAGGAACGTACCTGCTCAAATGCCTCGAGTGTCTCATACTCGTCAGTCCCCCGACTTCCCCAATACCGACTGCCCAGACCCCGTGTAACCCCGTGTGACACCGACCGAATACGCACGCGGGGTACACCTCTCTGCTAGGGATCGAGGACGGTTGCACAGATATATAGAAACGACCAAGGCTTTGTTTGGTTCATGAACAACATCTCGGGTAAGGCCAATTTTTTTTTAAATAGATTAAATTGCAGCGTTCAATCTCGAACCTCCAACCTAGCTAGAGATGTCACATTAGACCACCCGAACTCTCACGGCGATTCTCCGGACCACCTTATCTGCCACGTATGATCTCCCTTTCTCGGCGCGATGTGCGCGAGTTTCGACCCGTTTGAAGTCGGTGGAGCGTACCCCATTTCGCCGATGATCTTTATCAAGTTGCCTGACTGAACCCCTCCTTCAATGAATGTCTGCGAAGTGTGAATCTCGGCGCCAAGAATGTAGTTTCTCACGACGACTATCAACATCACCGAAAGTCACGTGCAGTTCATGTAAACAGTTCAAAATTGGTTGCTCAATGTGAGCTCGTTATCGTCATTGTTTTCATCAAGCCTTCTTCTCCAACCGCTATGATACAACACGAGTGTCCTCGAATCCTACAGCTGGCTCATAAGCGTGTGTGTCCCTCCTTCGGGAGACCATCTCCCTCTTTCACAAGTGTCGTCGCGGGCCTCGGTCCCCTACCTCCAGGAGGACTTTGGTCCAAGGCAGTGAAGTTGTAACAGTATAAAGTCTACAAGCAAATAAAGCAAGAAATAAACAGTACGCAAAAGGCAGACGCTTCCCAACAACCGTGACGCCCGGTTCATATCTCTAACAAGTGACGTTATCATCTCCGGCCACACACGCCACCGCAGCCTGCTTTTTTTTTGCCTGTCCTATTTGACCCCTGGTTGCGCAGAGTCGTATGAATAAAGAGGATAATAATAAGAGGGGAAAGAACTTTCGTCGACTAAAAGGGAGTATGTATGCGCAAAAAAGGTCTTGGTCGCCGAAGAAAGCAGTGAAAGGAGGGGTTGGCGGCAAGTTAGGTGTTGCCTCGGGAAGAGATCTTGTTGCAAAGAAACAGGAGAGCATTTATCAGACTCGAAAGAGTGCCGAAAACGCCCTAAACTTTTCGGGCTCGCTTCGCGCTGTCGTGGACAGGGCTAACGAAAGTGACGTGCTTGTTCTCATCCTTCTTGAGACGCATCGCAGTGCCGGAGCCGACTCCGCTGGACTCCCTGTGATGACCAAGCGGGCGTCCATCGTGATCCTCATCAAGTGTGATCTCAGCAACGTCAGACACCGACTCGGCATCCATGCGGTCGCTGACACCTGATTCAGACGACCCGTCGTCGGAGTCATCATACTCGCCATCGTCGCTGACAAGTGAAGGTGCGTTGTTGCTAACCATTGTGCTGGGGCTGAGGTCAACATCCTCCATGTCGACATCCTCACCAGAGTGTATTACTACCCTGGTGGGTCCGTCGTCCTTCTCGGGACTGCTCATGGGCGGCGAAGCAAAGCCTGTGGGAGGCGACCTTCCCTTGCTGCTCGTTGGTCTTGTCGATGAAGTCAGAGTGACGGGTGACATTGGTGCTCTCGCAGGCATGCGCATTGCAGGCATACGAGCAGCTGATCCAGCATTGCTCTTCGGGCTGCCGAGACCAGTCTCGGTATCTTCCGATTCCTCTCCCGGCGATGTGAGGTCTTCCAGCGACATCTTCTCCTTGGCGTCACTGACAATGTCACTGAGGTTGCCGGTGAAGTTTCTGCTCTGCATGAGTCGCGAAAGGAAAGGGGTGTCAGCCGAGGCGACGAAGTTTCCAGCCTTTGGCGCAGCGGACCTCGCAGGCTCTGCCTTTGAGGTACCTTGAGGGATGCTTGTAACGCCAGGCAGCTTGCCATCACGATACAACTTGAGGGAATCTGCGATCCTAGAACGCAAAGCAACGTACGCCTGTTGGGTGGACATGTCGGTCTGGGCAAAAGGATGGACGAGACCAGACGCGATGGCGGTTGATGGGGGAGGCGGAGCCTTTTCCTCTCCAACAAGACTGCCGCCTTCATTAACCTCGATGGGGTGACCGCAATGAACGGCCGCCTCTTCGTGGCTCTTGAAGTCTCGCCTATGGGCGATGCGGCAGTGGTTGATGAAGCCCTGAGTGCTGCTGAAGTTCTCCCGATTGCAATCCAAGCAGACGAGCTTCACAGTCTGGCCGTCGGAGCGCTTGAGAACACAAGGTCCGGCCTTCTCCTTGGGCTGAGGGTAGCCGCTGGAGAGAGACTGCAGCTTCTGGCTACCAATACCCCGAGTCGAGCGGTTCTTGTTTGCGCTGGTGAGATCAGACATGCTGTTCCTTGTCGTTCGTCCCTCAACTGAGCTTCTGCTACGGGCAGTCTCAAGCACTGGGTACCACTCAGGTTGCACGCCATCAAACTTGGGATCGGGGATGAGCCACTTGGCGTAGTGTCGAGCGTAAGGTCCATCGACAACTCCAAAAGGCGCAGCCCATTGGGGGACAGGCTCTCCCGGACGGTTTTGCAGAGCTGGGCCTTTTCCGTTGCTGATATCCAACATCTGCGCAGGAGTGGGACAGGCAGTAGGATACGGAATGAGATGGCAGCGACGGAGTTGCTCGAGAGCAACCTGGCATTTTGCCAGTTCTTGGTTGATTAGCCTCAGCTCATTGTGCTTGAGCAAGATCTCAAGACCAAATTGGTACTGGATAGAGTCGCGCGCGTCCTCCATGTCGTTAGTCACTGCTGGAACAGCGGCAGGCACAGGCACAGGCAAAGACGCGGATGCTGGTACGTCAGAGACGACACTGGAAGGGATGTCAGAGACGGTAAGGTTGGTGCTCTCCAGCTTGGCCCGCTTCAAGGGCTGCTCAGTGGCGATGAGTGCATCTGGTGAAGGTGAGTCGTCAACGCTTGACAGACGCCTCTTTTGAGGACACGACGGGCCCGCCAGTGATGCCGTTTGCGCAGGCTGCGGCAGAATGAACTGATGCTTTTGCGCGAATGGCTGCATGGGTTGAATGTGGCTGATCGTCGTTTCGCTTCCCCGCTCGCTGCTCCAGAGTGATCGGAACATAAGCGCGGTTCTCTGAGAGCAGTGAAGGCGATGGGGTGAGGTCGCGTTGAGGGCGGCCTGACGACTTTATGCGAACGTGAGATGAGGCGCAAGGCAACAGCCTGACGAAGGTGCAATGTGGCAGTGGCAGTGGCGGACGGACCAGGCACCTGCAGCGTGCGACGTGGTGCTGATGCAGGCAGAGGAGCCGAAAAGCTGAGGTGCGTGCAATGGGCTTGCGAGCTGGCGACGGGGGCTGACGTAAACAGTGGATTCCCCAGACAGACGAGTCGGGTATAAGCGTGTGGCTGCTCTGGGCGTGGGTGAAGACGAGGCGACGGGTGTGCGGTGCGTTGGTTGGCCTTGGATGATGGGGCCCAAAAAGGGGTGGCAGGGGGGCGACTGGTGCGTGATGATGTGGTCGGGCGTCCGGGCAGGAAGGCCAGAGGCAAGAGAGAGAGCCGGAGACCGAAGCAGACGAGTCGGCGACAAAGGGATAGGATTGCGACGGTCGCGCAGCGAAGACAGCGACGCAGAAGAATCGAGAACTAACGAAAGCCTCGATATCGCGCAAGAAAATGGTGCGAAAATGAATGCGCGAAGAGAGTTGGGCGAGCAAAATAAAAGAAGCGACGCCTACGATGGTTCTCTATGTCGTGTGGACGAGTGGTTTTGGAGTGGTTTTGGGGGGAGAAGAGGTTGTTTGTGAGGAGGTTGAAATGTTGGAGATGGGGATGACAGCGGAAAGAGCGAGAATAACTGTCAGAGGTCGGGGAAGGAGGCAGCTTCAGACCTCTCAGGCGGGCGACGTGCGTGAGCTTGGTGGGAAATTGGCCTCTGGGGTGGTGATTGCGAGTGCGGGTGGGCCTTGGATCCTAGGGGCCAGAGAGAGAGGGAGACAGAGAGTAAGGTATCCGTACGGTAAGTAAGGTAGCAAAAGCAGCCAGCCAGCGAAATGGTGTCGGTAGATAGTGTAAAAAGGAGATGGGCCGTGAGTTGAGCGAATTGGAAGTGTTCCTTTGCGGGTGGTTCTGTTTCTTGTTCGCTGATTGTCGATGGCGCAGCGGTGGTGCGGTAAAGGTATCCGTAGGCGGCGGCGCAAGCAAGCATGTAGCAGTATGCCAGTATCTCAGCAGACAATAGCAACAACAAGAGAGAGGTGGACGGGGCGAGGTGGATGCACAGAAAGCTGAGGTGGATGTTTTGGCGCTTTGCGCTTGTGCTTTGTTGGTGTTGGAACTTGGCGATGATGCGAGGGACCCGACTGACTAGGAAAAGGCAATTTGTGTATTGAATGCAAGGGGAGGCATGATATGGGGGTGTGTGAAAGGAAGGAGGGATGGGTGTGTGAGGTACGAGTAGTGTGGGTGGTGTGGATGAGGATTGTGCTTCGAAACGCGATGCTGATTGGGTTATCTTGGAGAAAGAAGGAGGGAACGAGGGAATGCGCTTGTCTGGTGAGTTTGGTGACTGGCTGGTCTGACCCAAATGTGGGGGCTCCTGGAGACGGGAGGTACGAAGTACTCCGTACAGACAACCGGCTGCCAGGGAAGGAGGGACCAAAAAAAAAAAATGGAATGGAAGGCGAAGGGAAACTCAAGGAAGGAGGTGTGCAGATGCAGGGATGCTGTGCAATACGACGGGGACGCTGAGCAGGGAAGGAACGGAGGTGCCCTTTCCCAGGTTCCATCCTCACCCAAGACTTGGTACTTTCTATACGGAGTACCTGGTGTTGTGTACTTACCTTACTTTTGGTGGTAGGACTCAGGAGAGCAAGACCCAATCTTCGACACAACCTAAATGACACCCGGACGGTTCGGCCGTCAGAAAGGGATGCAGTAAGAGTCAGTCCTGCACTTCTGCTCTCCAACAAAGTGGTACTCTCTCACGTCTCTCTGTCAGCCTGACTCCTGAGTGTGTGTGTGCCAGATGCAAGTCCTGACGCAGACGACAATAAAAACGGGCGACCAACAAGACAGCGGCAGGAGCAACGGCAGCGACAGCGGCAGCGGCAGCGACATGCGCACTGAACTACAAAGCTGTCAAAGAAAACGAGGACAGACTGGTCAGAGAACGATGCGCTCAGAGGATAATGCTGTTCCCGAGTCCCTGAGAGTTGAGAGATGGGACGTCAGTTCCTCATAAGTCCAGTCTTCGTCTGTGTCTGTGTTTGGCCTCGTCTTCCCCCTTCTTTCCAGAATCCAGAAAAATTCAGCCTGGCAAGCTGGGTGCCAGATTCCATATTCTGCATGGCGGATGGGAATCTGATGAGACGATGAGACGGACCGGGGGCCCTTCCGAACTTCTGTCTCGTATAACTCGTAGGCAGTAGCCGGGTTCTTTCTGGCGACGCTGCAATGCGTGTTTCGCCGCCCCGAAAATAGAACGGGATTGATCAAGGTGGGCGCGTTCAACAACACTGCAACTGTACCGGGTAATCAAGGTAAGAGCACAGCTATTGTGGAGGTTCATTAAAGGGATCCCCCTTTTTCGCGATAATCAAGAGTCTGACAGGCGGTATGGAGCAGAACATATGGGGGGAAGATAAAGAGGGTGAAGGCAATGCCGATGCAACTTCGTATGAGAAGCGCAGTCTCAGGGCTGTCTATCATCACTCGCTCAGTTGCTATCTATCGCGCCCAGGATTCAGATTGCACGTCTCTCTCACAAGTTGCCGATCCAACTGATTATCGTGTTTTGTTTGTAAAGGTTTCGACATATGTCTTATCCAGCCCGCCTGCAGATTGATTAAGTAGCACCTAGGCACGGCACTGCGGATAGGTACACGGGCCAAGGTTCCTGAGTGAGGAGAAGAAGACGGGGAAAGCTCATGGCGTATGTCCCGACTTGTTTTGGTTCCGTGCGAGAAACGCCTCAGCCATGTACCTTGGGGCGTGAGACGACCGCTGCGCGAGCTAAAAGTACCTGGAGGCGTGGGAATGTTCCCACTCCACCAGAACTTCGGGTTCGGGCCTCTTTCTTACTCTCCTCCCACTGCGCCAACCACTGTTTGTCGGATGCCTCCCTATACCAACATGCCTTTCTCTGGCCGACAAGTTCCTCAACCACGGCGCGGGATTGGGCACGATTTCGAGAGCTGCTAGATTGTGCCTGCTTGCTGTTAACTCTATGCACTGTTTGTTGACGGAGGGGACGAGGAACTTAAGGTATGGCGTCGCCCGTGCCTGTTCAAATGAGTCAACTTCGGCCCCTCACACCTTGACGAATGCAAACATTCAACTACGCATCTCATTAGTTCACCATCGTCGTTGTCGAGCACGCCGCCGCGTTCTCTTCTCCACGTACCTAGCGGCAGTCTCGGATCTCATTCGTCTGGATCGTAGCTTCACCATTCCGGCTGGCCTACCTACTAAGCAGCTGCGCCTAGCGTCCGTGGCGGCGACGACGACTCCATTGCGCCCCTTTCCAAATGGCATCGTGGATGCGGACTAGACTTTTATCAAGCGGCCCCAAGCTGTGGGAGGCCGCGGGCGAGACCGCAACAACATAACGTGGGATGACATGAGGAAATGGACCCTGAGAAGCAAGGTAACGCCTTGCGCCCGTGTATCGCCTCTTCTTGTGTTCCGCTTCCCTGGATGACTTCTTTCTGCCGCCTCATCATCGAAAACTTCATGCACCATCGAAGCACCTTCAAATTATTGCTCGTCGTCCTCTCAAGCCTCACATCCATGCGTCTTCTAGAGCGCTACGGAGTACTCTGTGGCCTTGACGATGGCCAGCTTCACACGAGGATGGAGGAGGGATGGGTGGGTGCGACATGCAGATAGACATGGGATCGCCGCTCAAAATACGCCACGCCACCCGGTGCTGCCCAGCTCGCCTTTAGCCCGTTCTGGTTTCAGATACCTGAGCATCGCTAGCGAGGTACCAGTCAGGCCAGGATCTCCAGAATTTCACCAGCAATATTGCGACTGAGGAGCTGGAATAAGCCAATGAAGCAGCTCTATCTTGCGACGATACTCAACGGTAACGATGCCGAGTCGCCCCGACTCAGCGGCCAAGGTCAGAACCGCATAAGTCCCTCTTTAACCCCGGGCCTCCCTGCCCTTTCACGGCATCTACGACGCTTCTCCAGGCCTTATCCCGGGTTTCCGAAGAGTGCTCCCTGGCGAAAATGGGTTAAGACCTCTGCAGGTCGTGCAGCTCGGCCAGAACGCTGCCACGCTGCACCTCGGAAGCTTGGAAAATCTTGGGGAGAACTATCGCAGACCACTTTGGGAGCTGCTAGATGACGAAATGTCGCAAAGCTCATGATTCAGTAAACCTACGGACCTTTCTGGCTCGACCTTCCATCCAAGATGCCAAGCAAGCTTTGGACGGTCCGCCGGCATCTTGACTGAAGATAGTCTTGCTGGACATGTCGTGATCGTTCTGATATTCGCTTTGTTTGAGCCTAAGAGAAGCTGCAACCAGAACAGGGCGCAACACGGCGCACTGCCATTCATCGAATCAAAAGAATGGCGTCCTTGAAGAGGAGGCGGACCAGTTGCACAGGCCACGCCAAACATGTGAAGTCGAGAAGCCACAGAAAGACCATCGGCGCATGGGCGCCCTGTCCAGTGGACCCTTCCATCTTCCGCGGAACGCTAGGCCAGGTCCGGCATTGTGCGAGAGCTCGTGTCCGACCATCGCTAGGGAACATCGCTGCTTTAAACATCCTCGATGTCGAACGCTCATTCACCCCATTACGGCATCCTATCTCGAAAGCACTTTGCCTTGCTTCCGAGGCTCAGGATAACATCGTGATACTCTCGAATGCTCATCATGAGCCTGACACACACATCACGTAGTGGTCTCAGTAGGGTACACTATGGTGATCATCATGCATCACACTGCCTTAGAGCAAGCACTTGAATAATTGAGCATCAAAGACGCCATCCAATCAGAGGAAGCTCTTGGTCCTGGATGGATGTCGCGGCTCTATGCCGGCTCTCGGCTCCGAAGACTGGTCCAAGCGTTTAGCACAAGGTACCTTATCTGTAATCCGATGAGATCTTATCGATAAGGTAGAGATTCAGACCACACTTTTTTACCGGTAGAAATCCTAACGTCTGTCTTGGAGCTCCAATCTCAACCCCAGACTCAAACCCTGCGTGGCGCATCACACCCTCGAATCATTGAGCAGTCACGTCTGCTATGGTTCGAGGTCTCACCAAGGCTGACCATGGCTGAACCCTCCGGAACTCAGCCTAAGGGCGACAACAAGAAGCGAAAATCCTCGACGGCAGCAGCCGAGTCGTCCGCCGCCATGGTCTCAAAGAAGAGCAAAGCGACGAAGGCAACAACAACGACGACGACAAACGCAAGCGCAAGCGCAAGCTCGAGCGCAAATGTCAATGGCCAGACGACCCCTCTGCCCCCCTCGCACGAAGCCCTCCTCGCGGACCTCAGATCGAAATACGACGTCCTCCCCGCCTTTACCATCTCCTCCACCAAGATCCAGAAACGCGTGACCTGGCTGCTGCAGCACCTGCGCAAAAACGATGGCGATCCGAGAAAGCGCGCCGTGCTCGTCTACGCCCGGCCGGGCGAGGTCGCCAAGATGATTTCGATTGTGGAGACTGTGAAGCGCATCGTTGCGGCGGAGAACAGAGTGGACGGAAAGGAGGAGGAAGAGAGCCGCGGCAAGTGGTATCAGTACAGCCTCATGTACGAACTGCCGCCAAAACCCGACGTCGTGGAAGAGACTGTGCTAGGCGGCGGCAGCAGCGGGACGCGCAATGGCTCGGAGGAAGACGACGACGGAGACGAAGACGATTTCGAGGTCATGGAGAGTCGCTTCGAGAGAGCTGTGCTGCCGCAGCCGGTGAAGCGTGCGGCCAAGTCGCTGAGCATATTCCTTTCGTTGGCGCCCGTGCCGGAACTCAAGGCTCGAGACGACGTTACGACGCAGACGAACGCGGCGCAATGAGCTTCCAAGGCGAGCTCGACGGTGCTCTAGCTTGGAGGGCTTGGGGATGGGAGAGGAGTTGGATTCGTGGCCGCCATGGGCTTGCGCTTGGGTTCCGTGAGATGGAGACAGGAACAGGAACAGAGACTCACGAGTAGCGGAGCTGCGAGATGTCGATGGCAAGCGCAACCATCATTCACATTGCATAGACAGGCGTTATAGGACAGTGGGTGGCTACCAATTGATACCCAATCGGGCGGGACGAAGTCGATATCAAAAGTTCTGAATTCATGATAAACACAGAACAAAAAGACAGCCCCGGCAAGTGTCTTGGAACCTGCAATGCAACCCCTTCAGTGCTTAAACGAAACTGTACCCATTTGGTGATGACAAACAAGTGATGAGCTCCTAGCAAGACTGTGCAGCGTAGATGCGTTTTGGTATATTTCCGACGCCTGTTCTGATGCATTCGCTTTTTCTATCAACTATACACCTTCAACATCCGCTTTCTGTTCGCGTACGCCCAAGCTAAACATGAGAAAACTGCCAAATTATAAAACCATGCAAACTTGTTCTCAAACGGACAAATCCTTCGCTTCCAACTCTGCCATCTTCGTACACACACGCACACCTTTGTCGTAGCCCAGGGATCGAGTTATCCGGCAAAGGCTTTCCCCCAAGCTCCCTAAGCACAACTCCCGACACCTAGGTATAGATCCGTTTCCCAGCCACTCTTCCTTCTTCCACTTTGTTCCCGGATGCCGAATAGCCAGCTGAATAGGAAGCACAAGTCACTCTAGTGCTTTCCCTCCTTGGACGAGTACGTTATGCGCAGGACAAAGTTGACGACGACGGCCAGCAGCAGGATGATGGCCAAAAAGGTGGGACCGAAACGGTCGTCGAAGCCGGCCTGGCCGCGAACGCGGATGGATTTCGCGCGCCAGTGGTACGTCGCCAGGGCGTATATCATGGTGAGCATGGCGACGCCAGTGAACAGGAAGGCGCTGATAAAGGCCGGGCGGTCGCCAAAGTTGAGCATGCCGATGGCAAGGGCGCCGAGGATGACGGTGAAGTTGAGCCATGAGAGGAAAGTGCGCTCGTTGGCGAAGAAGACCTTGGGTTCGACCCTCGTAGGGAGGGCGATGCGCTTGCCTGGTAATGCGACCTTGTTAGTGGCCTCTCTCTTTCTCTTATTTCAATGCCCTTTCCGACACTGCTGTGTACGGCGTCGTGGTTATACGTACCCGGAGCGGTCTGAAGAAGAGGTTGGCTAGACATTGCGATTTGCTTTTTCTGGCTGTGTTGTCACGAGTATAGGAATCGTGGTGTGCGGTCGTGGTTTTCTCTATCGCAACCTGAACTAGTTCAGTCGACCGATTTTCGTCTTCTCGCGCGGTTTGCCCAGTCTCCTACCCCTTGTCTACTGTTTACTGTCTCAGCAGCGACGGTCAGAATCCCTGCGGAGAATGGCAATGCGACGTCAGAAAATTGCGATTGAGGCGTCGTTGGAGAGCTCGGGCTCGCGTCGGGCTAGTCGTCAGAACCGCAACGGGTGTTTATCGTGACAAGGGGGCAGATGGAAGCGAGTAGCGCAATGTGAACTGCTTTATCTTGTACAGTCGTCTGAACAATTGGGGAAAACTCTATCAGGGATATTAACGAAAGGAATGATGGAAGTGAGAGAGGGGGATGAAAGAGAGGAGGAGGAGGAGAGAGAACGAGAGAATCTGTAACCGAGAGAACCCGCTTGAAAGCTTGTTCAGATACGACCAGAGACGATGCACCTGCACTGCGGCCGACTAGCCCCTCAAAAGCCGCTTCCTTAGAAAAAAAGCTCCATTGCAGAGCAGACTTGTGACGCTAGGCCTGCACGGCGTGCACGGCTAGAGCTCAACTCCCCACCAGCCACAGTACAGATCCATGTCAATTGTCCGCGAACTTCTGCAGCAAGGTACACGTGCAATTCAATCGCATTTTGATTGGGGAAGCCACACTTGGAGAGGTCAAGCCTCAGCAGGGGTCTTGATTATGTGGCTGGAGTGTGACCTCTTGATGACAGAGACACGTGACCTCTCGTTGCCCCGCGCACCTGGGGAGCACGGCCCGTGGATGCAACGCGAGACGGCCGAATCGGGCTGGCATCACAACACTGGTAGCTTTTTGTGGAGGAGCCTCATCTCTGTTGTCTTGTTCCGATCTGTCAACACGATCTCTTCACCACTTACACACACTCGAGATACTGGCACAATTGCTCTAGAACACCACCACACCTCTTCCACCCAAAAATCTCATATACAAAGAAACTAGCAAGCGCAGAAAGCCTTGAAACAATACACGACCTCTCTTCCCCTTTCCCAAACAAAACATCCGATCACAATGTCTGCGCCCGCCGCCCCTACGACAGCGACTCCCGTATGTTGACTTTCCCCCCACGCTAAGATCTCAATGGACCGCCTACTGACTCGATCTTGACAGCCCGTCGCCTTCAACCGTCTCAAGCAAATTGCTACAGATGTAAGCTGCCCATGCGACACCATCGTCAACGTCGCAAAAACATCAAGAGACAACCCACTGACCCTGTCTCGTTGACAGGCTTGCCAATCAGCCATCGGCTCTGCTGAGTTCTACGATCACGCTAAGACCGAGACATGGAACTCTCAGATCATTGTACGTTTTCTATCCCTGCGTCGGATGACAATGCCGCTACCCAGAGATTCCATGAACTAACCCTCGCGAACCTCGTCAGTCCTCCGTCCTGAAGGCCGTCATCTCTGAGTCGACACCCCAAGGCGGCTCCGCGCCCGCTTACAAGTTTGCCTGCAACTCCACAATCGTCCAGCACCTCGTCCCGACATCCTCCCTCAACAAGTCCAAGGGCACCTCCGTTAAGGAGGAGGAGCCCTCCGTCTCCACGAGCGCCGATGCGACTGCTACCGATGGCAAGCCCCACGTCGGCCGCCGCGGCATGCACTCCGCCACCGGCGCCTACTGGGACGAGAAGAAGGACGGCATGTGGTCCTACAAGTACGACGGCGGCGAGGGCAAGGGCATGGACGTTGTGATCATGCTCATCTGGGTCGCCATCTAAACGACGATAGCAGCAAGGCTCAGTACTCGAGGATAGCAATAGGTGAGAGGCAGTTGATCCAGCGTGCTGAGGTCTACATCCCCCCTTATCCTCGTCTGCCTTATCAAGATTACAAGCCACATGGGCCCGTTCGCAAGAACGGAAGCCTTACGGAAACTGGGTCGGCGCATGGAACGCCCTGAAACGGACCATAATGGGAGCGGCCTGGCGACCAAGCCGCAGTGGCATCATCCCCCCCAAATGAGCGTCCAGCTTCAAAAAGGATGAAGTTCACTTTTGGCTCGAATTTCTCTTAGGTCAAGCAGGCATATACGGCGAACGGGATTGCGCAAGGTCTATTCATGTGTATGAGTTGATTTTGTCTCCAAACCACGAAAAATAGCCGGAGTTCTTCTTTTTTTGTTAATGAGAATACATGCAAATCATGAGACTCGCGGCGCCCCAGACTTAAGTAATGACAACGACTTTGCTCATGTATGTGTTGAGTTCGTTGTCAGGTAGCACAGCAGTTCATTGCACGACTCTAGGTAGCATCCTTGCGGTTGGAGATGCCATTGTTGAGCATCTCTTAGCTTTTGCCTGGCGCCTATAAGATCTGAGCCATGCCAATATTGCAATCAGTGTGTGATGTGTGAGAGGCCACTCGGATACAGCTACCTACAGCATGAGAACGCTAGACTCATGGAACTCGATAGTCTGTGAATATATTTGTAAATATACCGCGGGTGATAACGATTGATTTGAAGGTCTATCGACAAATTGAATCGGTGTCGCCCGCTGTGAATAAAGTCATTATACGGCATTTACACATATTTGATGGCGTTGGCCGTGGAGCTGAAGTCACGGGTTCAGTCCCTTGTGGCAGTCCACGAGGTAGAAGAGACATGGGCCTTCATTCACGATGACATACTGCCCAAGTGGCGGCAACGTCCAGGCTCTCCTACTACAGAACGAAAAGACATCGGACCCTGTTGATCTTTGGTTCTTTACGATGTATCTACCTAAGGTACACTACCATCCGAATCCGCTTGCCAATCTGGGCACGGTGACGAGCGAGCTCAAGTCTTTTTTCCCTCCCAGTCTCGTGATCTTTTTTTTTTGCCTTCGGCGAAAGCGTTAGTAAACTTTTGTGATTGGTAGTCACGAACACGTCTATAGCAGCGTGCGTGGCCAGGTGCCTTCCAAAGGAAAGCTTGTTGTCAATGGAGGAGCGTCACAGAACGAAGAAAAGAAGTAACTGTATGGTTCCACAAGCACGCGAGTCGGGAATACCTCCCTCGGGAACTGTTGGGACGGACAAATCTTTTTGAAAAAAACGTTGCCATACACCCTCTCCAGCGAAAACGAGCATGTGCCGGTAGCGGAGATGGTTATTTATCACTAAAAAAAAGTTTTTTTCTTTTTTTCTTTTTTTGGGTTTTGGGTGTAAAGGAAATATCCGACGTTGTCTCGACAGATGGGGAGGTCGAGACCACATTCGTTGATTAACGTCAAGTCATAGGAGCTTTCCGGCTACGCCGCTGTCTTGTTTTTTGACATACGCAAGGAATTAGGTAGGAATGCGGCGTAGTTTTCAACTCCATCATGTCATGATGCGGTTTGAGCTGTCGCACTAACACTCGCGGCTGCTGGGAGCGGCCAGAAGTCAGATCATGCCCGGCTGACAGCTCTGCTACGAAGTAGGTACTTAGACGGCGGCTCACAATGTAAGCCGGCTGCCCTGGCCTGATCGGTGAGCGCCGACGGCGGGAGCGGGCGCGGGAGGGGACCGTGGGGGGCGAAAGATTTGTAGTAGCTACTACATCGGACCCGTAAGTAGGATATATCTGCTTGTTGTAACATAAGTTAGGCAGACTCGAGTTCTTTCCTTACGTGACTTTTCGGGCATGTTGTCCATGATACGGCGTGCCTCGGAATACCCTTTCAAGACATTCCCCAGATGTTCGGTTTTCCCCAGTGGCCCATTGGGGAGAAACCGGGGAAAGCACATAAAGTGAGTGATCACTGAGACGCGGAGACAATCAGGAGATGAACGGCCAACCAGTATGCATGATGTTCGAAGTCCCTTAACGCTGCAATCATCAACCATTTCGCCACCGCTCTTTTGATCAACCCCACAAATCTTGGGGGACACCTGCGGGTGGTGCAGCGAACGCAGCAGCCATGACGACGTCGATCCCTGAGATGGACGGATACCCTGCTTTTGGCTTCTGTTTCCTTTCTCAATGGCGGTCTGGCTGTGTAGGATTGATGCAACAACGGCCGAGTCTAGAAAGACTTCAGAAGGGTATCTGCCTACGGATACGGATGCACAGATAGAGACGGGCAAACGGGCGAGCTAGCATGGTAAGCAGGCGCATGTTCGTTGTGCTGATCTGATAGATCACAGACTACTGTACGAGTGCCGTGCGACTGGCAGCGTAACAGCAGCCTCACTCGGCCGATGCTGGGTGGTCATGGGACCATTGAGTCCTGGTGTGCAAGCTGCCGGTGTGTTACAGCGGGAGCAGCAGCCTTGCTGGCCATGCGAAGGTGGCTCCTTGGCGGCTGTAGGAAGTTCATGATCCAAGCTCGGTGTGCTTGGGAGATTCATCATTCTCGACTGATGGATGTCTTTCGCCATGACTAACTCGCATGGGTTGACGTGTGAACGAGGGATCAGTCTACGACTTATATCACTGATTCGAGGTTGCGGAAGTTCCTTGATGAGTGGCCGCGAGTTGCCATCGTTTGAAAGCATGCCTTGAAGTAGTTAGTTGGTCGGTTCCTATGCGTGCTGTCAACGTCTGGCCAATTCCAGAATCCTCGAGGGCTGGAACACGGCCTATCGGCCTATCAACGAGTAGCGTCCTGCGCGAACCCTCGTGCCCTCATCGTTATTCCCTTGGATGCTTCATGCATGGAGGCTCTGATTGGTCAATCAAGACCACGACACGGAAGCGCCAAGCGGGGAGAAACGAGGGGTGATGGAGGGTTGTTGTCAGTTGTTTTCTTCCAGTCATGAGTATGGACAGGATGTAGGTAGATGGTGAGGTGATTCGCAACTCTTTCTCGCTTTTCCGAGCTGCCGAGCGTTGTGTCTGTCGGAAGTGACGACGGTGGAACGCCTTACCTTAGATGCCTTCCTCCTTCAGTCAGTGGCTCCCTCGTCTGCGGTACCCTGAACGGCGCTACTCTTGCCTTATGACGAAAGTGCCGGGCTCAGGTACCGGGTACTTTGGGATGGCGCTTGCAAGAGACCGTTGCGTTCGCAGGCAAAGACCCCTTCAGCCCCTAAAGCCTCTCTCTCTTTCAGCTGTAGCTGAGGGGTTGGCTTTCGGTCCGTTCAGTTGATCTCCAGTATTTTCTGTTTGAAATCTGCGAGATATCCCAGATTACCTTTTAGTTTCTGTGGCTCTCGAAGAGTTGCTGGAAGCGAGATGGGCGAGTCCCATGGCATTTCATGATTCGCGCGAGGACACCAATGACCGAATTTCCCCGTTTTTGTTTCTGCCATGTTCCCTCCCGGGACCAATGGGAAGTCATCAAGGACAGAAAACGTACAGACGAAGGAGACCAAGGGACCAACCACCCCTCCCACGCTTCACTTATTCCACCGCCTAGCAGCCCGGGAATACCTAGCGTTCCTACTTCAATACATCGCACTATCCGCTAGGCTATCAGGGGAGACACTGGCTCTGACTGGACAGAGATGAACAGAGAAAAGGCGCTGAGCTGGGGGAACCGTAGACAGTTGGAGGTGAGTGACTTGGCCACTATGGCGTATGGCTCTCCAATCCAGGCAAAGGTAGCGTACACTGTAGTGTGTCAAGGACCCCCAAATATCAGCCCGCTAATCTGGCTTGCCATCGGCCGACATATCCTCCTTCTTTGGAGCTTGTACCCGCGACTTAGTTGGCTCCGTCGGTCTGGACGTCACGACGGCCAAACATCGCCTTTCCCGTCCGGTGCTGGCTCCATCACACCACTTAGTCTACGCACAGCACACACACCCTCAGACCCTTTTTTCCCTTCCTTGTCTTCCCGTCTCTTCTCTTCCTCTTCAAAAAGAGAAGCGCCTCGACCGATCTGCACTAGACACTACCTCATCGGGTTCCTGTCACTTCTTTTCTTTTGCCGTTGACGTACCTTTATATATCTAACGAACTCCTCCCCTGGGCCCTTGATCAAAGACCCTATTCTCGCCTCATGAACTTGCTATTGAGGCATTCCCACTCGCAACAACTACCACCGCCATCCAACATTGGCCCTCCCATCCAAAACATTGCTATTACCTGAAAACATAACTCACTCGACTCGCAAATCACAAGTGAGCCGAAGCCTATTGATCCTCCCTCCTCTCAGCCTGAATACGACGAGACAACTACTACCCTCCTCCTCGACGACATCGTTTCCCCTCTCCACTGATAGGTGATCCTTAACCGCATCAACGGAAACGAAACCCCCTCTTCCATCTCACGAGACTCCCAGCTTTCAACTTGGTTGGCCGCCTCTAACCCCGCTCGCTCACTTTCACACCACACACATCGTCGGATAATAGCCCAGCTCGGGCTACCGACGACAAACCTCCTAGGACAACACAACGCCGTTACACAAGTACCCCCCTCTTCACGATGGTTGAAGTACTTCCCTCGGGCCTCGCCCAGAATGGTCAACCTCAGCAGTCTCAAGACTCTGCCGACCACGTTGCCTCTGTTGCCCGTCTCTTACTCGCAACCAACCTCGCCTCTCGTCAGGAAAACAAGATGATGACCCGCGAGGAACGTCAGGTCATGATCGATGAGCTCAGTAAGAAGCGCGCCGGCTGGCGCACTCCTCGTCGCGGCTGGTCTATCACCGACTCTCCCGTGGCATCAGCTCAGGGCAGCCCCGCGCCCCAAGCTGCAGCCTCCCCGTATCCCGCACCTCCTTCAACCCAGCACGAAGCTGTAGAGAGACATGCTATTGCCTCTGTTCCAGAGCAATCTGAGCTTCCAATGCAGGATTTGAAGCACACTCCTCAACCGCCTCAGGTCCGCCGACCTCCCTTGCCGCCCCCGCGCCGTTCCTACTCAGTCATGGATTACGAGCCTCCGGCGCGCATTCATCGTCCTTCGGCTCGCATGGACATCTTCGACCTCCCCGCCGAGCTACACTACGCCATCTTCGATCACCTCGACCCCATCGACAGCACCTGCTTCGGCCTGACCAACAGCCACTTTTACGATATCCACCGACGTATGCACGGTCCGGTGCCTCTCACGTCCCGGCGCAACGGGCCCAACGACTTGGAATGGGCATGGAGGTTCGCCGGTCCCCTCATTTACAGCGACTCCGCTGCACCTCCCCCGGAGGCTTTCAAGGAGCACGCTCACGATCTCGAGCGCATGCGCGTTAAGGGTCAGGTGTACTGTCGCAAGTGTGGAATCTCCCGCTGCGAGCTGCACCGTCACCTCAAAGAATGGATGGGCCCCAACCTAGAGTACTGCACCGTCACTCAAAAGTACGGCCCTTTGCCTGTTGGGGAAGCCGCGGACACTTGCTATATCAAGTCTCCTAAGAACCCGCACCGCTGTGGTCGGCATGCCGCCAAGCCTGTCAAATCGCACACCTGAGAGGCGTATCTGAACTAGCCTGTGAACTTTTTTTTGCTTTATTTTTCAAGCATTGCGATTGGAATTTTATATGATCAAGCACGCCGCCGTACCTACGGGTCCGCTTAGTTGTGCGACATGGAGTTGAGACAGCAAAACAAAGGGAAGCATTGGGCGAGAGGGTTAACTGTATCATTAGACGAGAATGGCGTTGGGTTTGGTCAGACGATGTCTGGAAGAGGAGGAAGGGAGTCAAGACACATTGCGCCATCTAGCTTTAGATTACTATCTACAAAGCATGGATAGATGAGAAAGACGGCATAGCGAGAGTTGGGCATGGTTCTACATGATTATCGACTGTAGCTGCGCGCACAAGAATACAATTAGAAAGGACGAGACAAAAGAGATACGTTTATACTGTGTACACAACCATAGTCATGCTCACCCACTACTTTCAAGCGACCAAAATTGCTTCGAATAGCCTCACTGTTCATCCTCTCATCGCAAAGTACCACGTGAACGTGGTTGACAACCAAAAGTGTTGATATTTGAGTTGCAATGAACCCACTGGAGTGACGTAATGTTCGATGCAGATAGATTGTGGACCCTGAAAATAGGCCATCCCGTGTAATGCCGAAGAGAGGGAGGGATCCGTATCTGTGCAGATGGGCAGCGTCATTCTTGATGGACTTCGGGCAGCGGCCGACGGAAGGGCACCTGACTCGCGTGCTTCGAAACGGTATGCGTGATTTTAATAGAAAGTGATTGGACAATGGGATACTGGTTATCTGCTGGGCATCTGATAAGGAGGGTCCTGTGATTTGAGGCGCATTTTAAGATGTTGGTCCATGACAGTTGCTTACTTCTTTTTGTCTATCAGACGGTCACACAAAAGGGTTAGTCGGGGTTTTTTCTTGTAAAGATTTCGGCAATCGCAGTAGGTCATAGACCATAAGAGCCGTAGTTCTCGGCTTTCAGAACATTGAGACGTTTGGTTCCGTATCCTGAAGGTATCATCGCATACAGAACGAAGAAGAGGATTCTGTCATTTATCCTTATTAAGCATGTCGGCGAAGAGAAAAGAGGCGGGAACTGAGTTACACAGTCAACTTTGTAGTTTCTTGAATTATCACTCCAAGCCCGCTATTTCATAGAGATTTCCCGATAATACCGTTGAAGGGGCCATCTCACACGGGAGACGTAGAATACGCTACAAAGAGTCTCAACGCCAGCCTGCTGTAGAAGGCTGCCCGTGATGCATCGGCTGTTTGAGGGCATCAGGCCATTTGTTGTTAGAAATCCAGATCTTGAAGTCCCTCAGCCTTGGATACCGCCGTGGCGTATTTCTAAAGGCCGTTATGTAGTTCTTAGGACATACTATCCCATCAACTGCTAGAAGGCGTCACTACATCCGTCTCTAGTCTTACTCCAACTTGCACTTTATTTCTAAACTATTCGTAGGCAGATACGGAGGAAACAGGGTCGGATAGATGTATAATTCGTTATTGCCTCTTTGGAAAGTACATGTACATATATTGACACCATCTATCAGTTGATGGGATAACGGCTTGTATTCAGTGTCTTGGGATGACGGTATTGCAACGGGGCCGTGCCAAGCCAGCTTGGTGAACCTGCCCGTAGTGATGATTTGCGGACCAGCGGGGTCGCAGATCCGTGCCTTTGAACCTAGAAAGTTTCCTCGGCGTTTTATTCGCCTTCCCAACTAAGTGACATTCAACGTCGCGAAAGAACGCCTCAAGAGCGTATTTACTAACCGTCCGGCGTCTTCGTCATGGCTGGTTCTCGAATTTCATCCAGCTAAGGCTCACATCGTCCCGGCTGGGCTCAGTTAAAGTGGCTCGGTGCAATTTCCCCCACCAAGCACAATGTTCCCCACGTCAGTGAACCGGGGGGTGTCGTCCAGTCTCGCTGCTTCGATGGGAAAGGGGCCCCGGAGCCGCGTATCCTATTTACGAATACTTTCCGTACGGCAAAGAAGTATCTCACTTTTTTTTGGAACGAGTTGCGGGTCGATGTTCTTCAAGAACTTGTAGGCGAGCTGACCTTCGATCTCCAGAATGGGCTGTTGCTTGTGCGAAAGACAACACCAATGATCTGATCCTTTCTACGTATACTTGAGAGTGCGAGACCAAAATCGGGTTGTTGCAATGGCGTGGAGGGCCAATCGTCCGCCGCCCAGCTCGGCCAAACCGTTGCTCAAGGGCGTGCTGGCCGTCTTCATTCTGATTCTTTTTTTGACGAGCACCTACATGTACCGCGACACGATCAGCAGCAACGCTTCCCGGATCAAGTTCACCGATGGTGCCGCGACAGACTACTTCAAATACCCATTCAACGCCAGTAACGCCGACGCGAACCCGATCGACTGGCTGATCCACGACGCTCGAACGAAACAGGCGGCGGTGCTTCAGAAACGAAGTCGCACGCTTCATAATGCGGCGCAACGTTATCGAGAGCGAAGGGGCAGACATCCGCCGCCGGGATTCCAGGAATGGTTCCGCAGCGCCATGGACACCGATGCGATTGTTGTCGAAGACTTCTTTGACCGGATCTACGACGATCTCAGGCCGTTTTGGGCCCTCGACCCCAAGACAATCACGAAGCAAGCCAATGCCGGTGACCATATTGTGAGGGTACGAAACGGTACGGCGACTGAACAGGGGAATACGGAAGGAAAGGAGCCATGGCTCGAGCTATGGACGGCTCTGGTGGCCGAGTTTGCGCAACATCTACCGGATGTGGACATGCCCATCAACTACATGCAAGAGCCCCGGATCCTGGTGCCGCGCAAGGATATGGAGAAATATGTGGCAAAGGAGGAGAAGAAGAGGACCATGCCCACGAAGAACAAGGCTACGAGTGTGTTCCAGAGCTTGGTGGGCGTGGATGCGACGCAGGGCAAGTCTGCTTCTTCTGTGAAATGGACCAGCGGCGATCGTCGCAAATATTGGGATCTCGTTCGAGAGGCCTGCCCTTCGGATGCCCCAGCCAAGAATGTACCTGCTGCGACAGACCTCTCCCTCCCGCCAACCTTGCCATACTCGTGGACGGCGCCCTTTGCTCGCCAAGGCTACGTCCAGAACTTTACGAGCTCCATGGATCCGTGTGTGCAGCCGCACCTCCGCTCGCTCCACGGGACCTTTGTCGAGCCGCTCCACGTCAACACCACACGGGACCTGACCCCCCTCTTCGGAGGCTCCAAACTCCGCGTCAACTCGGACATCCTCATCCCGGGCGCCATGTACCTCTCCGATGACCGATCCTACACCGGCGGCAACGTCCGCGGGCCCGCGTGGCCGGAGAAGCGAGATTGCCTCGTCTGGCGCGGCGTCGGCTCGGGCGGTCTCGCAAAATCGGATAACTGGATGCACTTCCACCGCCAGCGCCTGGTGGAGATGCTCAACGGGACGACCGTACGCGGCATGGAAGCCAACGACGTCCGGGCCATGACCTTTGACATGCCTCCCCTCGATCGCTACGACACAAAGCGCCGCCGCGACAAGCGGCTCGGCGCGTTCCTGTCCCGTTTCGCGGACGCCGGGTTCACGCAGCTCCTGTGCGGGCCCGGTGCTCACGACCGGCGCAGGGGGGAGGAGGAGGAGTGCGACTGGCTCGCGCCGCACCTGTCCGTCGTCAACGGCACGCCCATGGCCGAGCAGTTTGCGAGCAAGTTTTTGCCTGACGCGGATGGGTATAGCTTCAGTGGACGGTTCAGGGCATTTATGCTGTCGACAAGCGTGCCGCTCAAGGCGACGGTGTACGCCGAGTGGCACGACGACCGGCTCACGCCGTGGATGCACTTTGTGCCGCTGGACAATACCTTTCAGGACCTCTACGGCGTCTTAGACTTCTTTACGGATGGTAACGATGATGAGCCTCGGGGATGGGGCGTCCACAAAGTGCTGGGGAAGAAGAGCAAAGGTGACGACGCGGCGCGGTGGATCGCCGAGCAGGGAAAGGAGTGGGCGGACAAGGTGCTCAGGCGTGAGGACATGCGGTTGTACGTCTGGAGGCTTTTGCTAGAGTTTGCGAGAGTCTGTGACGAACATAGGGATACGCTAGGTTACGTGGTTGACCTGCCGTAAAAGGACTTGATGTTGTTGTATTTTCTTCCTGCGTTTTTTGCATGGTTTGCTGTACACGTATACATACACTCTGGGATATACCATGGGAAATAATCGATGGCGTAGGCGTTCAGGACTGGGGAGTAGAGGAGAAAAAAGTTCACGGCAAGGTTTAGCCTTTGTACGCCAAGAGGGAAGAAAGAGGAGATAACTATTGCATTGTGCGAGAAGTATATACGATACCTGATTTTTCGTCACCTCCGGCTCATCTCGTAGTCGCAATCCCACGATTCCTTATTGAAGCTTATTCTCCGAGCTCACGAGTCTATTTGCTTTGCCGGTAGCAAGTTTCCGGTCCGACGGCCGTCGCCATGTCGTTTTCGTCAAGTTGGGGATTGCCACATGCCATCTTCTCTTTTGCAGTATGCAGGAAGCTTATTTCGCAATTATCACGAATCAGCGAGAAGACGCGGACATGGGGATCCTCCCCCTCTCCAAACTTTCATCTACCCCCCGCCGCCGAATGCAGGCGGGAAGGCGCTTAAAGTGTGAACCCACAGGTCAAAGGTAGATTTCTCCCGGGATTTGATGCCCCATTAGTGCTGAGCATACCTTGGGCGAACGATGATGCGTTCGGCGCAAAAGCGATGGCCGTCGGCCGTCCGTGAATCCACGGAGCCTACGGGAGCATGCCGGGAAGGTTGGATCCAATGGATGTGTAACTTTCCAGTGCGACCGGCACCTCGCCATTCTTAATTTCTTGTTTGTTTATGGAATGTGGAAAGCATGGAAGAAAGCCGCCGGACCCGCGGGATAGGTAGTCGTCTGTACAAGCGCACTCATTCACTGCTTCCTTCTCATTCGGGTACACGGGCAGGTATATAACTCAACCTACATGTGCGCCCCCTTCGTCTTCGGTTCGACGCTTAGATTACACAATCTGCTGAGAACTGGTGTGAGTCGCAATTCGAGATGCACGTTTGCACACTCCCTCAGTCCCCGGTGCACATCGTCGGCGGGCATCGCCGGTCAGCTTGGTATCACGGATTGCCGCGCTGGCGACCAAGCAAGGTGATCTCCTCGAGACTCGCGACATCCTCGAAGCGAGACTTGCCTGTTAGGTCTCGGAAGGGCTCTCGGCGTTTTGAATCGCAGACGGTGAGTGAACTGAGTGGTTGCTTCTTTGTTCCCCGCCAATGCCATATACCCAAGTGACTGACTGTCTGACAGATGGCATATACCCCTCAAAATGGAGGTAGTCAGAGGCCAACAAGCTTCGATGTGGACGAAAAGCTGCTAGAGGAGAAGGCTTCCATGGTGGGGGTATCAGAGTTGGAGGTTAGACCACTGCTCGATCACGACGACGAGGGCCTCTCTCCATCCTCGACAGAGCGCCTCCCGCGTAAGCGATCTTTAAAGACACACTTCCGTATCCGTCGTCTTTCGCGATCGCAGCGCAGTCATCACAACCCGGAAGACAGACATCTGGAGGAGGAGAAGAAGAATGGTTTTACCTCTTCTACAAGAAACAAGAAGCAATCGCCCAGTACTCGCAAGGCACAGAGCGAGGAAGCCTCCGGAAACCATCGCGTTAGCTCTATGAATTGCATGGCCTACCACATCGCGGTCGGCCTATCATGGAGCATGCCGGCTCCTTTCGATATGATGCCCACGGGATACCCGACAAGGTTGTTCTGAGGTTTGACGAGCTGTCGGTGTCAGGAAGGGAGAGAATCAGGAGACGTTCAACAAGGCGTTTGGGGAGGGGGTAATTGGTATCGGCGTTCGGTTTGGCTATCGGCGGAAGAGACTTTCCCTTTATCTTTTACTATGCAATATCCTGCCAAGGAAATGGGATTGCCATGAGATTTGAGAAAATGTTTCCTTGGGCGACGGGGCCGTTGTAGTGAGCCCAGCCTAAACCATGAAATTGTATTTGCTCTCGAAACACGTCGTACTGCAGCATCTATCGCTCGGTTTTGGCGAACTTTTATTGAGAAGTCTCATGTATGGGGGTGGCAAGTCAATGCGTAGCTTGAAGATAAAGTGAAAGCGAAGGGGTCGTAAGCTGTGAGGCCCTTACAAGTAGTTCGAATGAGATCTATCCAGTGACTCTCATCCGGAAGGTCATCAGTGCGGCTGGCCTCGCCCAAGATGTAATTGTGTTTCGGCTCACACTACATGCGCCTCTAGGCCTGACTGATTTCAAAAGGGAAGCCATTGATATCCAACCCAACAGCATCGATGGTGTAGTCGCGTGCATGATTCTCTCGGGGAAGTACATGGCCAGCATCGGCACCTAAAGTCATGTCAATAAGTGAAAAACCTATTGGTCGAAGAGTGTTGAAGTCCTGACTGACTAGCTACTCTACGTCTATAATCTTCTGAACTCTTACGCTGCAGTGCATTGAAGATTCGATCCAGCGGTATTGTTTTCATTTGATTTATATTTTGCTAATCTGACTTCGGTTCGCAATTTCCAGCAACCTCTTCGTCTGCTACCAACTACTTTGTATCCGGTCCCATCTCGAGCCTTAGAGCGGTAAAGAATACTAGTGTTATGAATGTGAGTAAGAAAGAGAATTAAGGTATCCATCAAGAGTTTCACTTTCAGAAGCTATTCACATCCTTCCTCCCACAGCTGTAAATTGCGACACATGGAACTACAGCGTATTAGTAACCGATTGCATTTACTCTCAATTCTTTCCAGATCGCCCGCGACCTAAGATGCTCTCGTGAGAAGCTTTTGCTCATGATTCGCAGAATGACTGGCCCAACTATCTTGAAATATTTTGAGCTATATGAGTTGGCATCGATTATATTTTCCCGGAGCATCTCAGCTGCGCATGTACCGCAGCTTCATGACATGATTCCCCGAGTTCGCTCAAATTGCACATACCAAGAAATAGAAAACCGTCTTTGCTACAGCTCCAGGGTGCCGATGTCAAGATCGGTTTGTTCTCTTGATATGACCCGAAGGAGAGAAACATCGGACGCATAGGCCGGAGATGGGCCTATCCGGACACCACATCCAGGACGGAGACAGTAAGGAAAAAGGTTGAAAAAGAGGCGGCTTACAATATACCCGATAAGGAAAGGCGGCCTCGTATGTTTACTCTATCTAACTCATGCAACAATTTCTTATCAAGTCACAACCTGCAGGAGTATATCAATGTTGACAGAGGCTGGTATTATCTGCGAATAGAGGAGGTTGGAGAGGCCGGGAGCGAAGCGCGAGCCGTTAGCCGGCAAAAGTGGGACAGAGTTGGCTGCAGCCCGGGTGGGACCCTGTCACTTTGCTAAGCTGCTTCGCCGAACCGCCCAACTGTGACGTTTTTCTGGCAGTAAGAGCAAGCAACTGAATCGAGCAATGCCCTGGGGAAAAGGTGGGGGCGCGAAGTTCGGAGCTGGATTACCAAGCTTGCTGCTGCCAGGTAGAGTAAAAGCAACCTCAACAACTTGACATAACGGACGCTACTACTCAACTCCCTCTAGCATCTCTCACATGCACACTCTTTTGCTCATGTGACGGTACCTCGAGGTAAAGCTAAGGCTGAATGAAATCCTACAGTGAACAGGGTGACAGAAAAAAAGAGGCTGTTTGATGCTTTTCATTATTTCCTTGCATTGTTCATGTTCATCTCTTTATTCCATCAACACCTTACACCAACTCACAAAAAGTCTCGGCAATAGCAAACCTTGAGAACTAAGTTGACGCGTGGGGAAAAGAGCTGAATGGCAACGGCACCGGCTCCGAACGCAGTGTGTGTCCGACAAAGACCTTAGGCATTTTGGCCGTTGACGATCAAACATGGCGGCAGTAGAAGAGCCGCCGAGTCTCCGCGACCGGCAACAACATGTCGCATCTGAAGCTGACGCCGAGAGGGCCGGGACCTCTTCGTTCCCCGAACCCACCGAGACGACGACACTACTCAACTCGGAGACCTCTTCTCGGACCCTCCGTAATGGGTCGCCGGCCGGGAGCCGCCAAGACCGGGACTCGGACGACGATAACGACGATGATGGGCCTAAGCAGTCCATCAGCAAGACGCGTGCTGGCGTCTTGATGTTGAGTACCTGGATTCTCATCTTCCTCCAAGGTATGTTGTGTGTCCGATGCCCCGAATAACATCGGCAAGTTTAGTAGACTAAATCCACTTGCACAGCATCAAACACATCCGGCATGACAATGACGCAGTCCGTCGTCGCCGAGGACCTCAACGCCTACTCGCACGCAATGTGGTTTACCAGCTCCTACCTCATCAGCATGGCCTCGCTGGCGCCCCTCTTCGGGCGCCTGGCCACCATCTTCTCGCCCCGCATCCTCGTGCTCTGGCTAGGCGGCTTCTTCGGCCTCGGCGGCGTCGTCACTTCGCAGGCACCCTCCTTCTGGGTCTTCATCGCCGGCAGGATCCTGACGGGCATGGGGGGCGCGGGCATCATGACGCTTTCCGTCATCCTGGTGCTCGAGCTGGTGGGAAAGAAGAGCAGGGGCGTGTTTGTCGGGCTGGTGAATGCAGGCTTCACGATTGGGTTGTCGTTTGGTGCTGTGGTGTACGGCGCATTGTTGCCCGTTATTGGATGGGTTCGTTGACTCTTCTCGCGACCGCCTTTGGCGAGGAAAGGACTGTGGGCTAATTTGGTTTATTCAGAGAGCTCTGTTTGGAGTCCAGACACCTCTGGGACTGCTTGCCGGTATTGGTGCTTTCTTGAGCATCCCGAACGGTTTCAGCTCCGACCACAAGACCAGAGGCAAGTCGGTCCTCCAAAAACTGGCCCAAATCGATTACGCGGGTGCTTTCATGCTGGTGAGTATGTGCCCTCTACAGTCTAGTCGTGCCGACAGCTAATACCTCACAGGTATTAACCATTGTCCTTTTCCTCTACGGCCTCTCGGGTGACATCAACCCCTTATCCCTGCTCCTCTCAGCCGTTTCCCTCCTTCTCTTCGTCCTCATCGAATTTAAACTCGTCACGGATCCCATCATCCCAATCTCCGTCCTCTCCTCCAGGGGCGTGCTGCTCTCCTGCACCGCCCAGCTCCTCTTCATGTCCATCCGCTGGACCTTACTCTACTACACCCCCATCTTCGTCCTCGCCGTCCGCGGCTACGCCCCCGCCACCGCTGGCTCCATCCTCATCCCCACTAACATCGGCTTCGGCTCCGGCGGCCTCATCGTCGGCTGGCTGCACGTCCGCCGCAACGGTGCCTTCTGGTCGCCCTCCGTCGTCAGCCTGACGTGCTTCGCGGCCACCATGTTCGGCCTCTCGCTCGTCGCCACCGAGACCTCGCCCTTTGGCGTCTTTGTCCTGGCCGTCGTGCTCAACGGCCTCGCCACCGGCGCGACGCTCAACTACACCCTCGCGCACCTGCTGCACCTCAGCCGCCCGGAGGAGCACTTCATCTCGACGTCGCTGCTCGGCACGTTCCGCGGGTTCGGCGGCAGTTTCGGGACTGCCATTGGCGGCGGCGTGTTTTACCGCCTCCTGCGCTCGGGTCTCGTCGCCAGCTTTACGGAGCTGGACGGTGGCGAGCGGCTGGCGGAGGGGCGTGAGGAGCTCATTACGAAGCTCATTGGGAGTCCCGCGCTCGTTTTTAACGGCGGGCTGAGTTCTGCCGAGCACGGGATCGCGGTGGAGCGCTACGCTGCTGCGTCGATGGGCACGTGGCGAGCTGCGGCGGCGTTGGCGGTCGTTGCGATTCTGTGTCAGGCGAGTACGGGATGGAGGAGCCCTGTTGGTGTAAAGGAGGTTGATGACGAGACTGAGGCGAGGGCTACGGTGATGGAGAACGAGGGCGTCGGGGAGGCGTAGTAGACGGATGGGGATATCCCATATTGGAGGGCTCGGCTATAGCATATCGCATGGGGCGTAATGAGTGATGTTTTGATCGTTTTGGTGTTGCATAATACATGTAGGCACTGCCATGTCGCACCGCGATTTGGATATGATTGTCTTCCAGCAAGGTCTTTGGTGTTCTTCAAGATGAAGTTGGCATGTATATTTGTCTGGAGATAAAGCAAAGGCGAGATGTTTATACAGTAACACAAAGCATTTTTCAATTGCTTCCAATCCCTGAACAATGACAAATATTGCTCTCTGCGTCTGCGCCGTCTTACTGACAGTAGAGTTACTGGCAGTTTTGACTATAGCCTGCTTTGGCGGGCGGTATGGGAGCAAATGTGACACCGCGCGAAGATATTAAGCTGGTATTGCAAGGTTCACGCTTAAGACCTCAAGCCATATGAAGTACAACATTGGCTAATGACGATATAACGTACCTGGCCTCAGGTAACACCAGGCTGTCTATTTCATTAAGGGCATGGAGTTTTACCGCCAGGAGGCGCAACTCAAGATAGAGGGCATTCTAGCGATGGAAAATAAAGGTTGACACATGTCACATTCATCCAGGATTCATCAAGTTCACTCGGTTCGCTGAATCACTGTTAAATCTTTGCCCACCGTTCACTGGTTTCAGACATCGAGAGGCGGCATGGTGATTTTTACACCTGGCCCGTTTGGCTACATGTGGCGACCCGAGAACCGATGTGCCCGTCTCGGACCCGGGCCGTGATGCCTTTAACACGCATAGTGTTGTGGGTGGTGCATGGCTTGAACGAGGAAGCGCTCCATATTAAGCGGCTAGTTCTTTCTGATGAGCAGAAAGGAACCCAAGTTGCGGATCACTGCGAGGAGCC